GTGAGTCGAGCGCCTTATCCACCTGGCCATGCATACATAGATGAGCTAACAAAGGGTTTTAGTACAGAAATTAAAGCCTCTGCTTGGTATAGAAACAGATACACAAGAAATTAAAATCGTGGATAAGAAATAAAATCGTAAACCTTACAAAAATTAGAGATAAATAGAATATAAAATATAGAAATTATACATATAATTGGTATTGTTAAAAAGCTCATTTTAAAATATATAAAAACATAATCAAACAAAAGCTAAAAAATAGCAAAAAATTAATATTATAAAGGTGATATCACCAACTTTAAAAAACAGTGGAATTTTATTAATAAGCTTATAGGCAAAAAAATTTAAAGAAATATAACACTTGATTCTTTAAATGCTGTTGTGGATGCATTATTAAGAAACTAAACAAACTTAACAACTAGTTTCTCTGAAAGTTTTGTAGAACATTTTTGTTTGAAGTTATGCACAAAGCTACACAATGGGCTATCTGTGCTCTTCCCACCACGGGTATCGAAACCCGGTTTCTAGCGTTGTAAGTCTGCAGACATACTGCTGTGCCACTGGGAGCTTGTAGTTTGTTTGTTTGGATTTACGCACAAAGCTACACAATGAGCTATCTGTGCTCTGCCCACCACGGGTATCGAAACCCGGTTTCTAGTATTGTAAGTCCGCAGACATACCGCTGTGCCACTGGGGGCTTATATATATATACATATATATAGTCTATCTTTTACAACTGGAGGTTTATAAATGAATTTAAAATGCTTTGATAATTTCACTATAGAAAGAAGTATAAAGTGGATAAGAATAATTACGCAAATTATAAGCTATTTCTTTAACAGCAATTTTTCAAAAATTCTAGAAACAATATTTGAAGAGAAATCGGTAAAAGAACATTCTTCCTGCCAGTTAATGTGGATTTAGAAAAGGATTAACTTCTGAAGTGAAAATCATAACATTCTTCCTGTCAGTTAATGTGGATTTAGAAAAGGATTAACTTCTGAAGTGAAAATCAGAACATTCTTCCTGTCAGTTAATGTGGATTTAGAAAAGGATTAACTTCTGAAGTGAAAATCAGAACATTCTTCCTGTCAGTTAATGTGGATTTAGAAAAGGATTAACTTCTGAAGTGAAAATCAGAAAATTCTTCCTGCCAGTTAACGTGGATTTAGAAAAGGATTAACTTCTGAAGTGAAAATCAGAACATTCTTCCTGCCAGTTAACGTGGATTTAGAAAAGGATTAACTTCTGAAGTGAAAATCAGAAAATTCTTCCTGCCAGTTAACGTGGATTCTAGAAAAGGATTAACTTCTGAAGTGAAAATCAGAAAATTCTTCCTGCCAGTTAACGTGGATTCAGAAAAGGGTTAACTACTGGAGATACTCTCTTCAAATTAACATATTAGACAACAATAAATTAGTATTAGCTTTTTTTCTAGGCCTAACAAAAGTTTTTCATATCATCAAATACTTATATATAAATGGAAAATGATAGAAATACGTTGTACAGTGCTAAACTAGTTTAAAACTTCTTTACAAAATAGAACTCAAAGAATTTAAATTAATAATAATATAATAAACGAAGAAACTACAATAAAGTACAAGGTTCGACATGGTTCTATGTTAGGACCTATTTTTTTATAATTTATACTAATGATTTGACTTCTTAAAAATTAGATTTTAGTATCATTATATTTGCTGATGATACAATAATGGTATGTAATTCTAATAGTATAAAAGAAGTGTAAAGTATCATCATTAATAATTTAGAAAGATGGCAAAATGGTTTTATTTAATCAAATTATCTATAAATGTTAGTAAAAATATGTTTTATTTGAATTGAAAAATGAGATGTTTGCAAATGAGGATAAGATCCATTCAAATTTTATAATGATTAGTGTCAAATTGTGAACGTTTACAAATTCAAAAAGATAATAAGATTAATTACAGATTAGAATTTCCACTGGAAACAGCATGTTAAGGATGTAATAAAACTTTAAGAATCATTTTGTACAAATTATTTTGTTTCAAAATGATTAAGACTGAGTACGTTAAAAATATATTATTTCACATAGAACCAATCAGTATTACAATATGGAGTTTTAAATTGGGAAGGAACTTATTTAAAAATATTAAAGCCAATTATGAATTTTTGATAAAAGTATAATAAAACTTAATATATTCAATAAATACAAACATAAACCGTTTTTTTGAAATAAATTGGTAATAATTACATTACCATTTATATTTTTTTTTATCTCTAGATTAATGACTTTTGTTTATTGTTAAACACAATAGGCTATTTGTGGTTTATCCGCCGTGGGTATCGCAACCCGATTTTTTAGCGTTATAAGCCCTTAGACCTACCAGGTGATATGTGTAAAAAAATAAAAATATCTTTATAAATATTAAGCATGATATTTATCCAAATAAAAACAGGGATTGAAGCATAAAATACTATTAGTTAAAAAAGACCTAATGCATTTTTATTACTTAGCGAAAGTTTATGAACTTACAATGTTAAAATCCGGGGCCCGATTCCCCACGATGGACAGAGCTCGGGTAGTTCCACTTCATTAAAAAAAAACAACAATATATATTTAGCCAATAAATGTTTTTAATACTGTACCAATAATTATAAGTATTTAATATAATAACATTAGATTTCAAAAACAACTGATTTCGAACTAATAGCCTAGAGACAAAGCAACTAGTCGATATTATCCACCTCCAACTCTTAAGCTAGTTTTGTTTCACTGAATAGTGAGATTGGACTGTCATTAAAGCTTTAAAGTGCGGGACGCCAACTTTGAATTTTAGGATTCACAGTCTGGGCAGATATCAGTTAGATCATGCCCTGTCTTACAAATAAGGGAATATGATCAGAGACAGCTAAGAAGAAGAAAGTAAACGAATACCTTGTTTGGAAAAAATTTTACTTTACCAAGTTATATATATATATTGCTTTGCAGATATGACACATACATCACCTGTCATTTGATGATAAAATATTAATAAAATTACTGCAAGTGTAAAAAAAGAAACTTGACACTAGCTTTTCTTACAAAACGTAAAAAAACAATAATAATAATTTAGTTTTAGTAGCAATTACATTTTTTAAATTGTAGTAAAATTTTCAGTTCCCATAGCAACAATAATGAACTGAATCATTCAAACTTTAATTCAGTTTTTACGCATACGTCTAATTTGGATATTGATAAATGATAATTCATAAATTGGTCAATCGTTATCTGTTAAAGATGAAACTACATTTTTTCTGCACAAGAAAATTTAGTAAAATTTTCAGTTCCCATAGCAACAATAATGAACTGAATCATTCAAACTTTAATTCAGTTTTTACGCATACGTCTAATTTGGATATTGATAAATGATAATTCATAAATTGGTTAATCGTTATCTGTTAAAGATGAAACTACATTTTCTCTGCACAAGAAAATTTAGTAAAATTTTTTGATGTGTTTTGCAATTCGTAAATTTAAATAACTTTTTTTTTCTCTTGATATATTCACTTCAGACATTTGACGCAGGATAATTTTAAATTATCAATCACTTGGTTCAAATCTTCTTCGGGTTTAATTGGGTTTTAATTCTCTACTTTTGGATTTCAGATTCATTAAAAAAATTACTTTACTCATCTTAAAATAATTTATAATATATACCAGCAAGCCAACCAATTTCCTTTCTGCATAGGGTTGAAATAGGTAAAAACTCATTATAATCTATGATAATATTTATTACATTTTTACTTAGTTTTGTTTTCAACGTTTACAACCCTATAAATAATGTGGAACGCTGATTATCAATATGTATGTGCCTCATCAAGTACGCCGAGCATTTGCTAAATATTTTAGCACGTGAACTAATAGTTGGTTTTAGACTTATTCACTGTAGCCTTGTAACTGACAAACGCACGCCACCTGGGCTATGACGTCATAAGAGAAATCCCTCTCAAAAAGAGGCCTTACACAAAAGATATTACATTTTTTTTGGGGGGGGGAGGTCAACAACTTTTTAAAATGAGAATATGTTTTGGTCTTAATGCTGGCCTGTTTCTTTTCTCCGTTTAATGTTTTTTTTTTTATTTCTAGGTTTTTAGTTATTGTTACACAATATTGTCCAGTGTTATATCAAAAGAATAACTCTGAGTATTTTAATATTTGATGTACAAGATTGTTTAAATTAAATTAAAAAAATTTGGAATACGTTGAATATAAAAACTACGCTGCACTCTGAAAATATAACTGATAACATTTCACAGATTTAAGGAAATCACTTGGGAATTTAGATGGTCATTGGTTTAAGCCCGTGTCTAGTGTGAGGTTCTTAAGAGACAGTAGTTTTTGTTCTTTGTTGCCCTTACATAGGCACGTAATTCAAGAGACATACAATTCAGATATAACCACATCAGACAGTTTATTACAGTTGAAGCAGGTTACATAAGCCATGTGTGTAAAACCTTTTAACCAATATACCAAAAATAGACCTGAACAGTTATGTATATATGAAACAATATCTACAACTACTAAAGCAAGTAAAATAAAACGCAACGTAATCAAATTTGGTGATTTTGCTTTCTTATGATTAACCTTAATAGACTTAAAAATCTGAACCTAATAGGTGGAGTAACAATATTGATATAAATATTGATGCAAATTCCCTGTTAAATAAACGAGTTCCGTATTTGTTTATTGTTTTAATGAAATCTGTCAAAAATAGGTTCGAGGGTCTTAATTCCTACCGAGGAACTTGCTCATCAAAGCACGTCAAGGGACAGTTTTATATATATATATATATGTATAAATATGTATATATACCAGGCTAGTGATGACGTCAGGTAACGTCATCGTGAGGAACAGTTTGAAGTAGGACGACGTGTGTAAAACAGCGAATAAGAAATCTAGTTGTATGCTTTCGTAGTTGGTTGCACCCGTAACCTAGGAACATTGACATTTTTTTCACGATTAGTAATTCTCAGCAAGATACAAGCTGTTGATTAACACTGATAATACCGACAGCAAAACAAACATCTCACAGGTTAAAGAGAATTTTATACATTCAGTTCAATACCTAGCCATGTACAATCTACAGAAGTGGGGAATTATAGTGAATACGCCACCACAACGTTGGTGTATTTAAGAAAACCGATACTACAACCAAACTAAACAACTGGGCCCATGCATATCATAGGAACTTCGTATTAAGTTTGAGGTAGAGGAAAACATCTCTAAACTGCAAGGACCCCAGCTGATGGGAAAACAAACCTCTTTCTGCTCTATTAAGACCTCTTAGGGCACTTTGATCACCAAACCTAACCATCTCGTGTGTTTTCACGAACGAATCGGGCAGTCCTTCAGTACATCCTTTTTTCCCAGCTTTTAAACGTAACTTTCTAGCTGAGGTTTTCTTTGATGTTTCTAAGCGGGCGTTGAAATCTTTCTTGAGGTAAACATGTTGATCTATTCTCAATTATTCCAACTCTCATTGACATATAAATTAAAGCCAGGTTATGTAATTTTTTTTTTTTGCTGTTTTCCTTTATTTATTTTTTTTTTCTTGTTCATTGTCGAAATAATTCAGTGCTTCATTTTTTTTCATCCATATCCATCTTTTATTCCCCACCTTAATACATTTACGTAGGTGATTTATCTCTAAGCCTTACCCATCTCTAATCTCCGTTTGAAATTACAAGTAAGAAAAAAAGTTGAAGCAGCATAAACAAGATCAACATCAATACTGACTAACGTAGAGTATTACATCATTTGAGCACTGCTTATACAGATACGAACAGGACACCTGAGCTAGAGGCGTCCCCCAACAAGTTGCTTTGTCTCTTCCTCCCATAGAAAAGTACTGTACATTTGAAGAGCCAAAACAAGTCCTTAACAAAGTACGAACAATAAAAATGACTTTCAAAATGGCTGTCGTCTATGAGCCCTGAAGCGAGTCAATGCGAGGAAGCCATCTTTCCTCCTCGAGAAACTAGAGGAGAACCTACACTACAATGAGCATTGTCTGCTGGGATACAAGCTGACAGCCATCTGGTGACATTTTCCCATCTATGCGCCTTTTTTTATTGAACGGTAACAACATTGTGCTAAGTATCTCTCAGCCAACAACTGTAACTACAGCACAAGTGATTGATAACAGAAGTTCTAAACAAACTGTACTCGAACAGAAGAATTACCACGTCTCTGTATCCAAGCAACAAGCACCACCTTTAAATTAACCTGAAGAACACCCCCCCCCTCTCTCTCTCTCTCTTCGACCAACAGTTTCCCACACAAGGAATGTTATCATAGTTGGAGAAAAATACTTCAAACAACGGTTAAATGTGACAAAATTCAGTTATCGTTTTAATAGTAAAAGATCTGACGTATTTGTACTTTACTGCTTTGATTTTGTACTGATATTTTTTATTTACACTTCGACAAGTACATAATTCTATTACTTTGAAAAAAAAAGATAATAGAGCATACCAATATCTTAAATTTTACAGCAACAGTTTATACCAATTTTCAGTTTAAATAACTTCCTATCTAACACAGTTGGGGGGAGTCCACAGGTCACTTTGATCTGTTATTGCCGATCCACATAACTTGTGTTTCTGCCCAATAATCACAGTAAATTTCCAAAGATGTAACATAACTTTTTCAAAATTAATTGCAAACAAACAAAATTATAAATACATAAACAACTCTTTTTCATGCGAAACTTTCTGTCCATGTAAACACCTCAATGTCATTCTGAAAAAAGTTTAGGAACTGAGTCACGCCCACTGTTGGTAAAGGCGAATAAAGCAGGTGTACATGTATGTGTATATTGTGTTAAGTACACGTGTATAATATTCACACATATAAAATCAAATACATGGAGTTTGAATGTTACATCTACACGAAACCCACACTTCCAAAAATATATATAGTATTGTCAAAGTATAGACGTAATCTCTAACTCCATCCATCTACAACAAGATAATTCCTTGTTTCAGTTAGGCGCTGAAGTAGGATGTAGTTTCCACAATTACCACCAGGAGACTAATTTTAAAAAGCCAACTTACCTTCACTACAATATTTACAGCCACAAGTAATATCTAGACACTCCTAAATTCTATTTCAATTCTAGTTACTTGAGAGGCTGACTCAGTTAGCGCCTTCTAATGGTGTCCTAACCTTTCAGGACTCATTAAACTTCAACTTGGCAGTGAGCATCTTTCCCTACCGCCATTTTAAAGGACTATTCTGGCTTCTTCAGGGAAGTTGCTTACTACTTACGTTCAATCTTTGCATCTAATCCACAATAAAAGTATTACATCAATTCATTAAAGTTTGAAGAGGTTAGCTGACCAACTAGTAATGTACTCATCACACGGCAGAAATAAAAGCATGCAATACGTAAATACTTCTACAACACCATTAAATGTTACTTCCATTTTTAATGGGTGCTACGGACATTCACTTTGTACAATTTCACACAGATTTAACATCTGTCTAGAAAGGAATTTAAAAGTACTTTACACATCTCTATCAATTTTCTAAAGTGATTGAATTTTCTGACAGAATGTCGTGCAAAAGGTGATTACAATCTATACGAGAAAGAAAAAAATGCTAAAAGTTTCTTTGTCCTCTACGAAGTCGTTTCACGTGTAAAAAAACAGGAACTTTCTTTAGCCCGGGTTCGCCCTAGGAGATGAGGATTTTGGGCGAATGTCGGTCAGGAACATTATCTTGTAGTGAACATTGTGATTTCGTAGATTGATTTTGTGACTTTTATCCAATCTTCCCCTATTTTTTATTTATTTTATTTATTTTTTTTTGTAAAATGCAAGTTACTGATTTGTAAAGCCTCTTGGCTGTTCTTGACGATACAATATTATCATTTACACAAGGCAATCCACGAAAGGTCAGTTAAAGCCCTCCAAAGAAAGCAAGTTCCCTGTTTTGGTACAGAGGAATAGGTCTGCGAAAGTGAACATTTTTTTTTAAGGAATACTTAAATCATAATAATATTTTATAATCTTCATGTTGATGGCGCCGTGGCTGATACTTCACTGAACAAACATATGAATTCTACGTCTAATGCTTTACCTCACAGATTAATATACAAACAACACAAATCACAATAATGATCATTTTTACATGACTGGACTTGCTTGGTAGTTAACTAAGCAAATACCTGAGTGTGTAGGAAACACGACAGAGGCCAATCTACGAATAAAAGCATGTACTGATTACATACCAATGATAAATAATAAAAACAGACCATATTGGTCAATTTCTTGGTAAATGAATTCCAAATTTCAAATTCAATTGAAATATTAAAATTTTCGATTTCAGAAACGCAATGGTAAAAATGATTTAATTCTGAGGACCACTTTGTATTATTTAAGGTTAAACCCCAGTCTTAAAAAAGTAGGTAAGCAATCACGGCCATCTTAATTTTTAAAGTGAACAATTGATGTACACATTATTGCCTAATATGTTTCAACGAAATCAAAGCCTTTTGGCCTCTGGACTTAATGTCGGGTCACCTGAGAAACAAATTCCTCGCTTCGAGGTTGGAGACGTGTGGTCCGAAACGGGTATATCAAGCGTTGAAGAGTCCATCCCGTTTCGCATGACCATCGCTTCCAGACCCATGCTGAAACTGAGAGAAGAGTCTAGCTCGTGTCTGAAGTCAGAATGGCCTCCCGGAAAGAGAAGAGAAGGAACAACTTCCGGCAGACCATTTCTGTTGTTGGGTGGAAGCTGTGACCCTCGTGATGTGGATATCCCTTTGCTCTGGGGAACTGATGACGTCAAGGAACAGGTGGGCATGTGATTAGTGGCCGCAGCGACGGAGAAACCTGCCATAACAGGAGTGCTAGAAGTAGACGGCATCATCGGTGAAGTGTTATAGTTATTCAAATGACCGCTTGGCGACGCGATGTTCTGAGCCGCAGAAATCTGTATGCTCATAGAAGTTCCCAAGTCACAGCTCGAACTAGCATCTCGCTGAAGTTTCTGTACCCGTTTGACGTGGCGGTCCATGTCACAATGAAACTTAAAATCTAAAATACTGGTAAACCGCTCGCAACACGCACGGCATTCGAAATTAAGTTGAACAAGCTTCAAAATGGCCCGAATGTCTCCTTTTGTTGTTCTGAAACACGTCGCCCTCTGGTGATTAAGGCAAAGAGCTTCTGAAGGGTAGACCATCTGACAATTCTTACACACAAAACCTATGTCAACATCCACTTCAGCCACTTGATGGAAGTCGATCTCTTGAATAGTACCTTTCAGGTTAACCGTGGTCTTGCCATCTGGAGAGAACCTAGTGATGCTGTTTCCAGGTTGTGTCATCTTCTGAGTAACATCTAGAAGCGCTGGAGGTGGAAGTTGTAGTAGTGACAACGGTGTACTATACATATTGGCATCGTAAAAGAGGCCTCCCGTAGAAGTTCCTATAACACAGACAAGAAAAAAAATTAAGAGTCAGAATTAAGAAACAGACCACGAAAACAAACTGACGAGACAAAAGCAGGATCTTTAGTCAAAAATATTGCCGATTTACTAAGAGATAAACGTATGCTTGCACTACTAAGTCTTTTAGCTCCCATTGCACGATAATGACAACAGTGGGGTACCCTACAAACGGGTCTTGTCTGGTCCGGTTGTAACCTTTGAAGAGGTCAAACGTACTTGAATATTCACCTGTCTGATTTTATGAGTTTGTCGCGGTGAAAGCAGTAGTTTCTACAGCCACTGAAGGCGCGCCTCGAGTAAACGAGACGAGCACTGACGGTAGGGGTCGAGACATTCGTGCTCACACCGATCCCCGTCACGACGGGGGATTGCCATTCTAAACTTCGTGTTTTTCTTCTCGTTACTAAATCTATGAATATGCTCTAAGGAATTCCGAATGTAATTTTGTCTTTATCGTTAAGTAACCAGCCGTAAAAAAATGAAAGGTTTTCTTTAGCCTCTTATACTTGTAGACAAAAATGATGAAGATTTTCAAACCAAGTTGAATATTTTCAAACATTAATTCAGTCTGAAAACGCCAGTAAATTTGTTATTGGTATAATCCAATAAGAGGGGTCATCTTAAAAGTTTGTGGGGGGGGTGGGGGGTGCCGCAGGAAGTTCAAACCACCTCCCCATTTTATAGAATATTTCAAAGAAAAAAGTTACCACGTTTTAAGGAAACGTAATTGAATCTCTATTAATTAAAACAAAAATAATAAATAAACGCACCTAACTGTAACCTTCAATCAGTTTGATACTCGTTCTTCAATCATTTCAGAATTTTGAACTCTGAGGAAAAGCACAAAACAGACCAGAATTTCTTTATTTTACACTCGGTCAAAGAATCAAAAAAGCAACTTTTACTAAGTGTTTTTTTTTTAATGATTTTGTTATAGAAGGCAGTCTGCTCGTGTGTTGTTTAGCACAAGGCTACACAGTGGACTATCTGTGCTATGGCCATAACAGGTATACAAACCCGTGTTTAGCGTTATAAACCTTCAGAGTTACCACCGAGCTATTGGGGAGCAACAGTCTATGAAACAAATTCTCACTAATTTCTTATTTGTAACATTTCCACAAATATCCCGTGCATTTAGCTAGACTTATGTACCCTTATTTGGGTTCTGTGGCTCCATTTTAGACAAAATAGTTTAACATAAGCTCCGTCGCTACACACACACACACACAAAAGCCAAAATTACCAACCACTTTCTAATCAGAAATGCACGAATGACTGACCCCTTCTGAGACTGAAAATAAAAATTTTTGGCCCCCTGGCGCGGCACATCTATATTACCTAAAATATAATGAGTATCTCTGGGGGCATAATATATGTGTATTTTGATATATAGTGTGTTATGTACAGCATATTATTCACATAAAACTATCAAAAGCTAAAGATAAAACAGAAAACTAACAAAGGTAAAAATAAATAACCTTCATAGTCACAAAATAAATGCGTTGAACATAATTTACTTTTAAGGTATATCAAACTAGAAGAAATGGTGTTCTCTTTCCGTTCTGGCCCGGCATGGCCAGGTGGTTAAGGCACTCGACTCGCAATCTGAGGGTCGCAGGTTCGAATCCCTGTCACATGCTCGCCCTTTCAGCCGTGGGGGCGTTATAATGTGACGGTCAATCCCACTATTCGTTGGTAAAAGAGTAGCCCAAGAATTGGCGGTGGGTGGTGATGACTAGCTGCCTTCCATCTAGTGTTACACTGCTAAATTAGGGACGGCTAGCGCAGATAGCCCTCGTGGGCGAAATTAAAAACAAACAAACAAAACTTTCCGTTCTCGCTGCTAGTTCATGCTGTTAAGTATTTTAGTTTTAAGGAATGTTTCGACTGGTTTTTATTACTATGTATAACTTTAAAAAATGACCGTGTTTCATTACACATTGTTACTAACAGAGTTATACTCGTGTAGGCATGTAGATGTTTGGTGTGTAATACCACATGAATATTTCTGTTAATTAATAATGTGCTTAGCCATACCACCTTATAAAACAACATTTCACCTGTAAACATAAGTTATTAAAAATGATTTATATCATGAAACACGAATGATATTCAGTTTCTTATCTAGGATCCATTAAAGGACACGCGCAAGGCTAAGTAAAGTATTATTGATTAGAGGCATCATGGGAAATATCTTGAGATGCTCCCTTGCAGTTTCATGCGTTCTTTTGGAATTACTGACCATTACATGGGTAAGTGGCAGGTGTTAGAGGATGAAAGATGTCTAACATGTTCTTGAATTAACTAAATTCACTTACGTAAGCTAGTGACCGTGAATTTTAAACAAATTGTGTAACATAGTTTGCTGGTATGACTACGTGTGAATGGTATATGAAGTTAAAATTATTTATGATATATATATATGTGTATTTATTTAGCAAGCGTGTATTTACCTTAAACTATTACTTTCAGCTATATGATTTTTAGGCCTAAAATTTGTGTTTATTCATTATCAGCGTATAACTGATTAGCTTTGGCACGCATTTGAAAAATTGCGCTTTTTAATAGTCTAACGTGATATTAATACACATCTATCAGTGGAGGTAACCATAATATTCTTGACTCAACAATACTTAAAAAGTCTGATAAACATTTTCAACATACACTATTAGTTAATAATAGCCATATTTATGTTTTAAGCTGAATACTTGGTTTAAGCTTTAAAAAAAAACACTACCTGAGCTTCAAACGTTTTCAATAACTCATTTGTTTGTGAACTAACAACGAGGCCAGAACGAAATAATTAGAAGTTTCTATTCTTTTTTTCTTGCAAAATATCATAACAATAATGACAAAAATATATCAAGATCAAACCAGCACAAAATGTATTCATTAAGTATATTCCAAAGACTGATCTTAATACTCACAAAACAAAGTTAATATTTGATATAACGATTTACGTGCTTCACTGGGAAAAGTTGTTTAACAGTTGTTAAATCAAACAATAGCTGTGGAAAATAAGCTAATAAAGGCCTTTTATTTAAGGCTCGTTGTAAAAAAAAAGATTTAATGGTGGTTTAAATAAACTGAAATATTTCATGTGTTTATTGGTAAACAAAGATTATTAAAGCAGTAAGGATAACCGTGATAATGGATTTATTTGTATATATTATTTCTGCGTATAACTATATAAAAAAAAAGACCGTGTTTGATTACACATTGTTACTACAAATAGAGTTATACTTGTGTAGGCATGTAGATGTTTGGTGTGTAATACCACATGAATGTTTCTGTTAATTAATAATGTGCTTAGCTATTCTTGCGTACATTTAAGAGATGGGAAACACGCTTAACACACTATGATACCAAGATTTATATTATCTGTAAAATGTTCTGATGTATCTTGCGTACATCTAAAAGGTTTAAGACATACTTAACACACTAAGATATCCAGAACGTGTCTTACACCTTTTAGATGTACGCAAGATACATCAGAATATTGTACAGATGGTTTATTTCTGGATACCTTAGTGTATTAAGTGTGTCTTACACCTTTTAGATGTACGCAAGATACATCAGAATATTGTACAGATGGTTTAACTCAACACACTAAGATATCCAGAATTAAACTATATGTACAATATTCTGATGTATCTTGCGTACATCTAAAAGGTGTAAGACACACTTAATACACTAAGGTATCCAGAGTTAAACTATCTGTACTATCTTACGCGACACGTGGATCAAACGGTCAAGGCTCAGGGATAGTCGTGCCTAAATTTTAATTGATGACCAGAGGGAGGGCAGCAGTTCAGCAATGCCATTTGCTTACACAGCTACTTTACCCAAATAACAGAAATGACTGCCACTTTTATAACGTATGCACACATACCTGAAAGTGCGAGCGTGTTTAGCAGCATATCGCTGACTTTAATCTTGGACCTTTTGATCCGTAACCCAGCACACGAATCACTAGGCCCAACCGGTCAATTCTCATGAGTTATACTTACTTCTAGGAGATACGAAACACACTTCAGAGCCATATTTAATCTACCTTTATAGAGTTCTGATGTGACCACGTATTTGTAAGAAGTATGAGACTAACGATTCATACTTAATACATCTCCACAGTGTTGTGATATTGTAAATAATACAACAAAGAGCAATGAATACCAAAGAAACTTTGTAATCTTAGTAAGTCATTATCATAATGAACACAGGATTTAAATAATCATGCTACATTGTCAGGCTCTTACTTATTTCAGAGTCTCCTTATTGAATATATTCTATATATACCTTTCGCTAGTTTTAAACCATGAGAACTTATAGTTGCTAGACACATTGAACTGACACACGCGGCCAATTTCATGCGTAAGAAACTTGCTTTCTTTGTTGAAATGAGCATTTCTAGAACCATTTTACTTTAGAAATATCTAATTCAATCCCAGATCGAAGTACATTCTCGGGCAAGTCTCCTTTTCGATGCGTCGGGCCTTGACAAATGAAAGTCATTCCGTGTTTTTAAGTGTTTTCCAGAATCATTAGTGGTCAATGGTTCATCGCTTAAATTCTTTCTCTTCTAGAGGTATATCCCTCCCCCAATATACACATACATAACTTCTGTCGCCTATTTTCCGTATTTTCTGAAGTCAACCAATTACCAGGATCGAATCGTATTATTTTTTGCCACTACCAGTCCGTGCTGGATTGTTAGGAGGTATTGTTCTAATGCGCTTTTTTTTTTTTTGCAGTAACAGCCAATGCTAGATTGTTAAAAGATATTGTTCTAACGGCTGTTCCGAACAAGACGTTCATTTACTTTATGGCACACTGAACTAGCACATCAATTAAGTTAAGAGTAATTCACCACTGTCCCTCGACCCCGATGCTGTCCAAAAACTTCCTCCTTCTTCTGAATGGCGACTACATGCAGCGTCTTTACGTGGCTACGAACATAATTAAAATTAAACAGGCAGTA